CGCAACGAACGTCGGTCCATTTTCTGCAGGCCGATCCGAAAGCATGAGACAGAGCTCTGGTGCACGAGGTCCTGAAATTCTCGAGCCGCCAGAGCTCAGCAAGTTCGATAGTGGGGTGTGGTAATATATTAATATATATATATATATAATTATCCACAATGTAATGTATATATATCCTGCCACCAGGAGTTAGAAGGAACCAGGACAACAGAATCGATTCTGTGTCAAATTCTTGGGAAGATTCAAAGCATAAATTCACTGTGTTGCTTTGCGTTTGGACGGATGGGTTCCTGGTCCTCGAATTTTTGTTTCTGTTTTGTGACATTGGCAAAGTGACCTTAAAAACAGGGCTGACTCTAGGCATATTAAACATCTTTGAACAATTGCAAGGCTACGGCTACAATTTTGTTTTTTGTTTCGCAGGTGATGAGGCCTCACCCCAGATCTGAAGCATGGTCCGGTTTTTGACCACCATGGCTTTCACGCCATGGCTTTTCGTGGCAAACTTCACCTGTTCATCCAAAGGATGCACAGATTTTCGGCTGGTGCCGCTGATCCCACCTACGTCATGGTGCTGCATAGGTCATCACAAATCACAAATCCAAAAGGGAAGGACAAAAGACATACCTTGAGACGCTCACACAGTTTGGAGTGGCAGTCACATCTTGGTCAGCCCAGCTTTTACTTAAAGACCCCTTGCTGAACGATGCTACTGCCTTGAGTAAAGCTGATTCAGTTGAGGGAGCGTGATTCACTGTGTCTGGAGTAGGGTGTATTCCCCTGACAAAACGGGTTGACCAAAGGATCTTCAAACTGGTCATAGACTTCTGATTCCGCGAAACCCGGGGTCCCAGCGACAACCGGAGCGAGGGACCCGAGGTTATCATCCAAGACAATCTTCATTTTAGGTGTGGAAATCAATGGTGACAAAGATACAAGAGGAATACCGGGGTACCCCGAGTTGGAGAAGCACCTTATATACAACAACTGGTCGTAGTACTCGGGTTTATCCAATTGAGAACTGCTCTATTGAGCACTTGATTATTAAAGAATCAGTATCAAAACGCAGATCGAAGTACCTATATATGTAGACTCTCCAAGTAACTAGAAAAAATGTTGAACGATGTTGAACGTATTACACTTCTGGGGATAAAACAACCATTCTTACGGATTATGGGTACTTGGTCCTCGGAGGATCTAGGTACTGGTAGTCGACATCGCGCGGCCGCGGAAACCGTTTCTAGATGCACAGGACCAACAAACCATGGCAAAGAATCTTCCAAAAAATGGAGATGTGACATATTAATGTGCTGTCAGTACACCCTTTCTTGTGTGCGTGTGTATATATATATATGTGTGTGTGCGTGGCAAAAAGCTTGGTGACAGTGCGAGAAATTTGACACATGTTGAATGATTCTACAAAGGTCGTTTGGAAAAGGATCAACAGTGAACAGCTGCATGTTTTCCAAGTAGCCTTCCAATGGAAAAGGACAGTTTCGCGCGATTTCTGGATGCCTCATGGCAGGTGTGGCATTGGGGCACAATCCACGTTGCATTTTTCATGGTTGCACATATATCATATCCTACATGGATGAATATATATATATATAATATATTTATATTTATTAAAATTATTATCGAAGGAAGTTTAGAAGTCAAACTTCCGACAATATGGACAGATGAAAAGCAGAGTAGGGGGGAGGCAGAGAGAAGAGGAAGATTAGAAGAGAGAAGATGAGAAGAGAAAGAGTCAGAAGAAAGAAGATACAGATGCGCGAAAAGGTAGGAAAGTCGCGAAACACTGTGTTTTTCCAATGATTTGTGGCTCAGGAGGGTCGAAAAGTAGGCTCGCTAAAGCGGCGGGTGCGGAGCCAGCTGGTCACAGGAGCGATGAAAAATTGCACGCCGTTGTGGCGCGAAGCACATTTCCAAGTCAAAAGGTACAAAACACCTCAGCGTCGGACGACTTTTGGAAGTTGCGATGTCGAAAAAGTGCACGCCGTTGTGGCGCGAAGCACATTTCCAAGTCAAAATGTACAAAACACCAGGGGTTCGGACCACTTTTGGAAGTTGCGATGTCGAAGAAGTGCACGCCGTTGTGGCGCGAAGCACATTTCCAAGTCAACATGTACAAAACACCTCAGCTTCGGACCACTTTTGGAAGTTGAGATGTCGAAAAAGTGCACGCCGTTGTGGCGCGAAGCACATTTCCAAGTCAAAAGTGTTAAAAACTGGCGGTCTCGGACCACTTTTGGAAGTTGAGATGTCGAAAAAGTGTCGAAAAGTGCACGCCGTTGTGGCGCGAAGCACATTTCGAAGTCAAAAGTGTAAAAAACTGAGGGTTTTGAGCCTTTTTTGACGTGAAGATGTCGAAAAAGTAGACATTGATTTAACTAACTTGACTAACTTAACTAACTTCACTAACTTAACTACCCTAACTTCGACGACAACAGCAACAGCAACAACAACAACAACACCAGCAACAGCAACAACAACAACACCAACCACAACCACAACAACAACAACAACAACAACACCAACCACAAGAAGTACAACAACTACAACTACAACAACTACACGACAACTACAACTAGAACTACAACATACTACAACTACAACAACTACAACAACTACTACAACAACAACAACAGCAACAACAACAGCAACAACAACAACTACAACTACAACTACAACTACACAACAACTACAACTAGAACTACAACTACAACAACTACAGCTACAACAACAACGACTACTACTACTACTACTACTACACTACACAACAACTACAACCACACAACACCTACAGCTACAACTACAACAACAACTACAACTACAACTACAACTACAAAACAACTACATCTACAACTATATGACTGCAACTACACTACACTAATTACATTACACCACAACTACAACTCCACTACGCTACAACTACAACTACAGTTGCAGTACATCACACTACATCCAGCAGTTGTGGGTGAGGTGACCACTGCAACCATTGCAACCACTCCAGCAAACACAACTCCAACCACCTTTCGGTCAATCAGTGGATTCGCTCTGCCATCCGTGATTCACAACAACCAACGTCTCCTATAGGTTTCCTATTCTGAAACTTCCGCCACCGCCTTGTGCGGTACTACTGGTATAATTATATATATATATACAGTATATGCATATATATATACACATAAAATGATATATTATATTGTATTATTACTATCCCAGCTAGGAATCTCTCGTAATCATCCCCATACGAAAGAAGAATACCAAAATTGCATCCAGGAAAGCATTGAACATGGCAAACAACAGCAGTTTTCCGGGAAAAACCATGTCTAATTCCATGGAGTTCCCAGTAGATCTTCGCCGTTGCAGGCGTTTCGAGACCAGGTGCTGGACGCCTACGAAGTGGTGGCCTGGCGGGAGCTGGGAATCTCTGGAAGAATGGTGATTAAACGGTAATTTAAGAGAGATTAATGGATATAATTTATAGGATATAACTTATACAGTAACTTATGAATATTTAGGATTCATGCTAGCAAAGCCATGCATTTTTCCAGATTTTGATGATTTACATCATTCATTGACGGTTTACTTTATATATATATAATTATATATATATTGCTTTCCTCAGATTATCAGCATATCTTTGACATGTATATATAGTTATATATGTATATATATATATATATACATATATATACATATATATATATATATACACATACATATACATATATATATATATACATTGGTAAATTATCAAGACCTGACTGCCAATATAGCCGCACTTTTCAGCTTAGTGAAACAAAATAACTTGCCCAGATATGTCTCATTGATTTTGGAATATCTCGGAATAGCTGAATATTGGGGTAGACCCATAGCAATAATGAAATCCAGAGGTCAATGATGGTTAAGGACAGGAGTTATCACAATGGCGTGTATATAATGGATAATTGGAATGATGTGGTAAACCCAAGGCCATAAACCATCTCCAATTTTACCACAAATAAAATAAGTAAAACCCATTCCAAAATGATAGGTCTATTATCGGGTTTACCACATTTTCAATGTTTGCGAACACATCAATATAGTATAATAAGCAAATCGAATTGGGAGATACTCAAAAGTAATGGGAAGGAACGACTGGAAAATCTGATCGCTTTGGGGTTAAACCCAGATATCACCCAGAAATCGATGGATAGTTTTATCTGGAAAATGACGATCGACCGTGCGATGATGATGATGATTATGATGGTGATGGTGATGGTGATGATGATGATGATGATACTGATGCAGACACTGATACTGACACTGATACCGATACTGATACTGATACCGATGAGATGCTCATGAAACACATGATACTCATGATTGTATATAACATATAGACGAGATAGAATGAGCATGATAATGATACACGGGTAGTCCCATCCCCCGATTGAGTTCAATATCCCTTGAAACAGTGAAGTGTATTGGTCTACTTCAATACAGAATCAGTAGGGCACTATGTGATTGGGTTAAGGGGCACAATCGTAGCTGAAGTTGTCAGATGTTTCACAGAAAGGTATTTAGATCATCAATGTTTGTGGAAAGGACGGAAGGATGGCTTCAGCCATCGAGACCTTAACCAGTGGTATGTGACGGGTAAATTATAAAGACCTCACAACGACCTCGCCAGAAATGAAAGTAGTTAGCGAGGGTGAGCGTCTCAATATATACTGGTTTATCTTCCGGTAGTCAAACATGCCGGGTCGCTGGGAAATCCCGAGCTAAATGGGGGTTCTAATGGGGCAATTATCTATAAAAGCGGACTTTCCATGGCCACGATTGATTACCGGAGGGTATGTTTGGAATGATAGCAATTTGCCCAGATCCTTGAAAAGAGGACAAGGATAGGTTGAGGCTAGCAACCGGTCGAACTGAAACAAACATGATAGCAGCATCTCACCCCATCTTCTATGGCGGGATTGTTGGAAAGCGGGAAGCAAAACTTGAAAGAATGCAGTGAGGTGAGGGTTGCAGCTATTATCCATCGGGTATACAGCATGTGGTAAAACCAACAATAATTAATCTTTATTTTCCCGCAATATTTGTATATGCATATATATATAACTATATACGATATATATATATATATTGTTTATATATATCTTTACAATGATATATTTATACGATATATATATATATATGCATATTAGATGGTAAAAAACAATCCAAAATAGGACGTTTATGGCATTTGGTTCCCACATTATAATTAGTTTTCCAATTAGATCGTTTCCCAGAAAGGAACGGTGAGTTATCAAACAAAAGTGTAACCATTGGTTATTCAACATAGCTATGTAAGACGGCCCATTTATAGATGATTTGTCATGATTTACCTATCAAAAGTGGTGATTTTTCATACTCGTAGCTCAAGCTGTCGGTCTATCGAGCATGTTGTTTGTCGTGTCCCTGGGGGCAGCATTTTTTGTTAATGCCTTCATCCGAGAAAAAAAACACATGGTTGGAACTGGCAAAATTATGCAAAAATTAGAAGCCACTTGGTGTCAAACCACTAGTTCTTCCATGTCCAACCCGTTTGATGTGTATTGATATAGATATACTTATATATATATTCCTGTTTTTGTTGAATCAATTCATATGCCATATGATGTATATCCTTGCATATTCTAGACCGGTGTAAACTCCCGATTAACAGCTCGACGAAAGTCGCCTGTTTTGTGATGGTTAAGGGGTAACTATCCCAAAACAGGCCCATTTCAGATTGGTGAAATGTTACAATTTGTCCAGGTTAGGTGGTTGCTATAATATATATATATACTGTTATATATAATATGTATATACAAATACAATTATGTAGATACAGTTGTCAATTGCATACATATATATATAGTAAACCCTAATAGTAAATGCTCATGTTTTTCATGTTCCAATCATATACATTATTTATAAATATATAGATATATATCCTTTATAAACCCATATTTTACACCCGGATCAACCGATATAGGTCTTTACATGTCGACCATGTCCACCATTTGCTCCTTCCTTCACGCAGGGCAAAGCCGGACCGAATCTCGAGAGGTTGGGCAGCCAGTTGGGATTTAACCATATTGAATTTTTGTAGCAGTAGTGCAGCATATACATACATACATACCATAACATAACATACCATAACATACATAACATAACATTACATTACATACATACATAAATACATAGATACTGTAGCATCTATATATTGAAATCCATTTATGGTGGTTGAAGGGTGTTTTACAGTATTTTTTGAAATAAAGTTGCTAAGAATCGGAGGATTTATAGGATTTCAATGGATTTCACCATATTCCAGCAAAGCAGCAAGACCACTAAGCATCAAAAAACGACAATTTTTTGTTGAGTCAATCATTTACAGTAAATCCATTGAAATCATGGGAAAATTCCGAAAAGACGTGCTCAAACAAACCCGAAACGACACGTCGACGTCTTCTTGAGAACGGCGAGGAAAGTCGCGGAGCTGGAGCTTCAGTTGCAAGCTGTTCGGCGTGCACAGGAGGTGCCTTGGATGGAGATGTTGACAAACAAGTGGATATTGTGTTGGTGAGTACAAGGTGGTACCCTAGTTTGTAAGCTAAGTTGGTGATATCTCCAATAGCTACAAGTTATGGTAGATATGTCAAACTAGTTACTATGGTAGATATATATATATCTATCTATCTCTCTATCTATATCTATAATTAACTAACCCTCATGGGAATGATGGTTCCTAAACGACAGCTGAGTTGGTTGAAATACGCCAAGGACTATGGTTTCTGATACGCAAACAACTAGAGTTGTGAAGCAACAAACAAAACTGGGGGGGGGCACCTTGGAATATCCCAAAATATCCAGATATCCAGATATACCAATAAACAGTATCATCCCAAAACATCCAAGGCTGACTATTCCCAAATTGCAAGGTGGTGTACCAGTTCTGCAACTAGGTTGAAATAACTCCAAAAATTCTTCGGTTTATCGTAGATATATCGCACTAATTACAACTAGTTACTATGTCTTACCAACGTAACGTTTGGGAGGCACCACCTTCTGCGGGTAATCAGTGATCATCTGTACATGGGCCAATTTCCATAGCTACGTTTGATTACGAGAGGGTGTAGTTATATATTTATATAATATATATATATATATATAGTACTCCCGAAAAAGAAGATGGAAACGGTTCAAGCTGTGACCATTTTACTTTTGATTCTTGTTGAACTTCTTTTTTTGGGGGGATTGCTTTATCACCCCCTCAAGAATCTCCTCTATAAAATGGGGGGATACGTACCCGATAAGAGCATATTTTTATACACATTTTTTCTCTCATTTTTAGGGCTCGAGTGTACCCCCATCTTATACAATTTTTTGGGGGGGGTCAGAGCAGCATTTTGTAGTGATGTTCACCTGCTGGGTGACAACCACGTACAACGTCATAGGTTCCCATTCTATAGAGACCATATACTCTGGAAAACCGCAATTTTCCAAAGTCATGGGTTCCCATTTTATAGTGGCTGAAGCTGTTATCACCAAAAAATATTTACATCACCATACCACACCATACCATACCCTACCCATCCCATCAAAACCCAACCTATACAACTGGGAGTCGTTCTAAAGGAGGTTTTGCGTAAGTTTAGGAAAATAAAGATAGGCTCGACGATATGTCAGGGTGCCCCATGCATTTTATAGTGTTTGAAGGGTTTTGTGTTTAAACGATGGTTAAGTGATAGCCTCTACAAACTTGACATGTTTCATTTTATAGAGGTAAACCCTCCCCAGGAGGGTCATGGGTTCCCATTTTATAGAGGACCCTGTTCGGCGGGATGTACCCCAGCGTTTTATCCCTATAAAATAGGGACCCATGACGCTCCGACTGAATTCACAAGGGGTTCCTCTATCCGTGTATATATATATATATATACACATACATTATGTATATATGTACATCTATGTTTAATTGTATATACTATACTTATATACATTTAACCAGCAATAAAAATGGGGAAATGATGGGACTTGGAGGATCCGTGCACGCTTAGAACGCTTAACTAACCAGTTGGTAAACAACTGGGATGATCCTCCAAGTACCATTGATAGGTTGTTTATTGGGTATGATGTGTACATGTATATACATTACATGGTATGCATATATATATATATACACATTATCACCAAGGATGCCTTAAAACCGAATTGTTCCAACCCATTAGATGTAATTTTTATCACCTGGGAGAAAGGCTGGTGAGATTTGGGCCCAAGTTTCCCCCGAAACGTATCTGGATGATCCCAAATGACGCATGGCTTGGCACATCGTTTGACATGGCAATTCTCATTGGGACACCAGTGGTTTTTGCTTGGGTAATAGAAACAACTAATATAACTGGTTGGTGGTTTGGAACATTTTTTCCCCCAATAGTTGGGATGATGATCCAATCTGACTCATATGTTTCAGGGGGGTTGAAACCACCAATTAGATAAAATAATATTGCTAACTACTATATATTAATGGTAGATTTAAATGTCAACGATGTGGGGTATCATTGTGATATTATATTGACGCACGTTTGCTTTTTGATTTTTATTATGGAGATGAATGGGATGTAGCACTCACAATATTATGTGGGGTTGTTTGAACACTATAGAAAAAAAAACTAAAACTGAGAAACCACAAAATCCCAGAGTACAAAATCTCATGTCCCCTATACATATATACATATATCTATGATACAAACGATAATTTGGGGTATGCCCCATGTTCAGGCAAACCCAAATGGGCATGTTTGTACCTAATCCCTTCATCCTAACCTCCCCTAGGAAATTAAAAAACTACAGCGGAACCGTTAGATAAGACCCGATTAAGATTTTTTCAGCCCACCCTGGGATTCTTAAGTGCTATAGGTAAAAATTATGGGAATTGTGAACGAGGGTACCCTCAAGTTCTTAATGTGTTAGTGCTTAAGGGGTTCATATTTGAAAATTCTTAGGAATTTCTCAATATAGCAATCGGTATAAACAGTACCTCCAGCCTTGCGAGCAGCAAAGACGCGAAGAAGAGGAGAAAGGAGAAGAAGAAGGCAGGGAGGGTTGGGCCTGCCGTGGTATTAGCTTCAGAAAAGAGTTGATTGGAAAAAAAGCTTTCCACTACTAACTGTTCCATGGAGATCCTTGGAAGAAGCTGGCTTGGGTTTGCAGCGCCCAAAGTTTGTTTCAAGGGTTTTGCGGGGACCACCAAGCACGTAGGTTTGCAAAAAAAAATTTGGGACCCCAAGAGTTTTTCCACATAATTCAATAGGCGTCCCTCCAACCAGGTTAAAAACAAAAACACAAACTTCCCGTCTTGATTTGAGCAGCGCCCCGGCCAGGTGGAAGAGAAGCTCCAGAACCAGAAGCACCGGCAGAATATATCTTTCATATTTCATATATATATATATCACAATAATCAATGTTTGATATCCCGAATCAATGTTTGATATCCCGTAAAATCCAAAATGTGTTTTTTGTTTTTAGTCAAGGTGTTTTTTAATAATTGAAAAAAGATTCGTTTTGTTGGCAATATGCTGATTAGATTTTAAAAATGAATGTTATCCATTTTGAAAGTGTTTTTTGTTTGTTTATTAAGATGTTCTATTTCATATTAGGAGAAAGCTTCGAAATCCAATTTGTTGCAATATGTTAATTAGTTAAAAGAAAACACATAGTTTGATCGACTTTGAAATGAAAAAAGTGTGTTGTAACTATAAGGTTTCAAGTTCACATTTGTGGAAACTTCGAAATTTAACGTTGATAATATGTTTATATATAGTTTTAATTAGATTTTAATTAGATATTAAAACGGTCATTTGAAATCGAACTGTTTTAGATTTGTACACTTGCAAACCAAGGTTTTTAGTTTAATAGTAGGGGCGAGTTTCTCACCCGAATACTAAATACATTCCAATAATAAAACGACCCTTAGGTTCTATTGTTTGGGTAGGGGGGACCTTTAGTAACATGGTATATGGTCTTATACCCAAATCATCCCAGCTTGTTAGTTCAACCGCTTATTCTTTGTCTTGACACATAGCTATATGATTCTTTTCTGTGTTTGGATGCTTTAGCGCAAGAAATTTGACCCGCCCTCAGGTTCCAAAGAGTGAACGCTTTGTTCTTTCAAACCGCATCTCTGATGCCAGTTCAGTTCCTTGCTGGCGGTGGCGGTGGCGGCTGGGCATGATGCAAACCTTGCAAGAGAGCTTGACAAGATGGACTGATCTGCAGCTATGGACTCATAATAATGCTATCTGGTTGGTGATTCACACATTTTTTATTTTCCATTATGGGATAATTCTCCCCATTGACTTTAATTTAATATTTTTTAAGATGGTTAAAACCACCAACCAGATAACGATATGGATCTGAAAATCTGGCGCTGCCTTATTGTTGATGCTGTACACCATCAGTTTCCCGGTGATTTCCCCCAACTGCCGCTTCACTCAACTCACAGCCGGACAATGGGGAACACTCCCCCAAACAATGACTGTATTTTCAATGGGAAAATGATGGTAAACTCCTGGTAAACCATCAACATTTTGGGTATTTTCAAACCAGACCTATGTTCATGGTACATCGACAAGCAAAATTAGTATACAGGAACCGACAGAATTATGGAAAAAAATAAACGTTTCAATTTACAGGCGCCGCCTGTCTATGATAGAAAAGTTACGAACCTTTTTTTTTCCATAATTATTTTTCCATAATTATTTTTTTCCATAATTCTGTCGGTGACTGTATGTCCATCGATTCGCAATTTGAATGCATTTTAAGGGGGAATATTGAATTATAGAAAATATGTGTCTAAAGATCTGGTATATGCCCCTAAGTTGGGTTGATACTACATACTTGCATTTGCATACATATTTCCATAACCCCCAAAAAAAAGGGGTTTGAATTGTGGATCCATGACATGTCCAACAGGTGGAGCCCCAAACATTCTACCAGTGACATTGCTACTCCTATTGTTGCTCCCACCATTGCTAATTTGAACTGAGGATCATGATATGCATCTGTAAGGTTCTGATCCAAAGCCCTAAGCAAAGGCAAACCTTTAAAATGAAGAACGTATGGATATTCCAATTTGGGGCATAAGATGGCACATTTTAGCGCTGGCTCAAATCTAGCCATAATTTTCTTGTTAAACTAGCCTTTCACGGTTTCCCATCCATTTCTGGGCTGGGCTGCTGGGCATTCCCAGCATTCCCAGGTCTCGAGGAGTATGGGGAGTATTGACAGGACTGTCAGTGTCGGTATGAAGAGCGATCTAAGCGATCTCTCGAACCGCGATGTGAAGTCAGTCCCTTGACTCAACTGGAAGCACGCTCTGAACTTAGAAAAAGGCGATGCATTTCGAGCCTTAAAAGTTGTATTTGTTTGATTTGAGTCGATAAAAAAAATGCCCACCTTGATTTCAATGCGGAACTGCTTTGGAATTCCCATCTGGTAATCTAACATACCCTGCAGCGTCCTGTTCTTCTCAGGCGTCAAAGAGCGGCTCAGTCCCTTGACGCTGCAGGGGGGCGTCCTAAATCCGAAGGGATTTCCAGGGCTCAGCCCCAGCAATGGTTTCAACCATGGGTTTCGTTGCGATTTTCACGGTGATTTCAGCAGAAGCAGCAAAAATGGTGATTTATTGGGATTTAGCGACCATTTTGTTTGGTCAGTTAGATCATTATCTTACTGGTGCTTAGTAGGGAATGGATGGGAATGGGGGAATGGGATGATTATTACTAGTGATTATGGATCATTCCCTTATTCCCTGCTAAGCACCAGTAAGTTTTTCAAAAATTGAATATAACTAGGATATAATGGGATCTAACTGACCAAACAAATGGATTAATGTGGGCAACCTGCCGTAAAATACTACCATGACTGGGGATGGTATCCCACCCATAAGAATCATGATTTTGGGGATGGTTTATGAAATTGGGTTTATCACATTATAGGTAATTAAAGAAAGCTGTTTTTTAGGAGGAAATCGGTCATTTTACTTCATCTATATACAATTTTTTCCTCCCCCCAATGTACCTTCTGCGGGAGCAACCTTGAAGAGACCAGCTCCAAAGATGTCCAGCCTGTTGGGACTCTCAAGCCTTCCGATGCTTCAAACGTCTGTTGTGAACTCCTTTGCTATGTGGATCAGCCAATTTAGGTGGAACCCAAAGTCCACATCCCTGCGCAAAACTGTTGAGGCAAAAAATAGCAGTGGATCCAGCATGCCCATGTCCATAGATGTCCCAGAGTTGAAGGGCAAATCAGACATTTCTATGTTTTAATGACATTTAATGACCAGATCAGTGATATGTTCCCCCGATCAATCAATCCACTGGAGTTTTGTACTACAAGGATCTTGGGTGTTCCAATCAGGAAGTGGGTGAGAACCACTGGTTATGAACCACTTAGGATGCCTTGGATGCACATCCAAGTGATGGCTTATCTCTTGTTGGTACCCTGTGATTTCCCAATTGTGGTTGATTAAATGTGTTATAATGTGTTACGCCCTATGATATTCCCATTCATATCTCATTTATATCATAGCCGATTTAATCCTTAAATATATCAATGGTATCCCTATATTTTTTTGGCAAAGCCCAGTTACTAGGTGGGTTAAAACCCCATTTGCTGGTTAAATCTGAGTGAAAAGTGGGTTCAAACCCGGTGGATTTCCAGAATTCTGCTTTGTTAAATCAGTTGATATAGCCATGATGTTTTCTCATTATATTCCCTACCTAGACCCTCCAAATACATCCAAATACACCAAAGAGCTCATTCATGCACTAAAATTATCGTGTAGAAAGCCCACTCTGATGGGTACGCTTACGCAGGGTCTAGGATTAGCCATCTATTATCAATATTTCCAATCAATTTTCGTCACTAACCATATAATTTAATCATCCATATAGTCTATGTCTATGGTTACTTACCCATCTGATATTAGCAATATTATACCATATATCACATGTGATCCTGGATTTGAGGTACCCATGGCGAACGATGGACGACCTGCATCGCCAAATGCGACGCCGCCCTCCAGTTCACCAGGAGAGTCCGGTTCCTAGGTCGTTCGCTCAGAAAACCATGCAAAATGGATTTTACCACAACTGATTGATATATATATATAGAGACAATAATATAATATTTTTACATATATATATATATTATATAGTTAGGTACGGTATAAAAGGATTTAACCAGCAATAATCTGGATTTCGGGGCGATTTATTTCTAAGTTGGTTTATAAGTGGATTAGCTTTTGGGTTTATGGTTCACATTGGGCGGCACCACATTGTCACCACAGTAAGTACTCCCATAAGTCAGCGTTGAAACGACCATGGAACTATGGTTATATTTCCAAGAAATCGGGTACATTCCAGCAATGGACACGTCTTTAAAGTTGGTTCTCCCAAATTCATGTTCATAGATTTCTGCGGAGAAACTAGAGTTGTCCAGTTTTCCATTTGACATGCATGATTCCTGCTGACATTGTGCCAGTGTTGCGCGAACTTGGCTCTTTTTCTTGCTACAATTCACTGATATATTTGTTTGGGATTGGTCCAACCCCCCACCAGGACCGATTTCAATCGGATTTTAGTTGGAATAGCAATGAACAAACATGCAAATGTTGGATGGTCTTGTTCTCCAATGTTTTTGTTCCCCAAACATCGTGTCCACGCTGAGAGGTTCTTACGGTAAGAGTTAAGTTAAGGCCGGTGCTTGATCGAGGTGCTCACTCTGGGAGGCGGCATTTTCCCTGGAAATTTCTGCGCAAAATGGCTCTTGTGACATGTCCATGTGCATTTCAACTGCGAAGGCTCGCACAAACTGTGGGCCGCGGTCTTGGGATCGGTCCTCCTCCTCCACATCATCATCCTCAACATCAATATCTTCCTCCTCCTCCTCAACTTCATTATTGTCAACATCATCATCTTCCTCCCCCTTGACATCATGACCATCAGCATCATCACCCTCCACCCTATGTTCGTCAACATTATCATCCTCCACCTCATTTTCAGCAATGTTTTCATCCTTTTCATCATCCTCCTCAACATTATCATCCTCAACATCATATTTTTCCTCCTTCTCAACATCATCATCCTCGACCTTATTATCTTCCACTTCATCCTCTACATCATCATCCTGCACCTCATCATCCTCAACATCATCACCCTCAACATCATCGTCCGCAAAATTATCATCCTCCTCATCATCATGATCATCCTCAACATTATCATACAGCTTCCTCACGCACATTGTTTGGGGTCTCTTGCCGGTGTAATTAAAATAATTAGAGTCTTTTGGGAATATGTGTCATGGTCAACAGTTGGATTATATTATATTATAATTATATTATATTATATTATATACTCATATTTGGGGATGCCCATCAATCCGTCATCAATCCATTAACAGTGATAAATATACACATTAAAAGGATTGATGGATGACCATATCAACCATATACCATGTTTTGACCATGGCACATACATTTAGCAAACAGTCATTTGCGGCCCCGAAACTATGTGAAATTTGTTGCCCATAGAAATGGAAGTTCATGAAAGCAGCGATTTGACAGCCATAGTGCTGTGGACACTGCATTCATTATCATTTGTATATATATATATAGTTGAATGCGTTGTCTTACATTCACTATGTATGCATGCTTTTGAGTGTGTTCTATTCATCCAATTTTATATCGGCAGGAAGCCTGGAAATCCAGCAGCCACCACCATTGATGCTGCTACCCCCAGACGAGGTGCCAGGGGTTTACTTGTGGGAGCAGGCCAGGGGGTATTAATGACCCCTATATAGCTATGCGCATAGTGTATTTGCATATTCATGCGTAATGGAACTGCACCCCCCCGTAGATGGGGAAATTTGAATATGACTGGGTGATTATTTTATTGCGATTTGAACTCGATGGAAACATCATGTCCCGAAGAGAGTTTTACCATGTTTTGTTGGGGCAAGAGCCCAACAGCAGATGTGAAACACGATGGTCATCAACCAAATCAGCATTATCAACATAATCAAATAACCAACATGGTTGCAAATATTGTTCTTGGCATCGTCATCGTCATCAACCTTATCGTCGACGTCGTCGTCGTCATCGTCGTCATCATCATCATCATCAGCATCATCACCATGACCGTCATCAATTTTATCATCGTCGTCGTCGCCATCGTAAGAACGGTAATAATAATCGTCATCACTAAAAACATCATTTGAAATATATGTTCGAAAAAATACAAAACATGCATCATCATCGTCATGACTAGCATCACACCAGCATCAACACCAACATCGATCCTAATTATCATAATTACTGTTTTTTTTGTGATCTGTATCGCCCTCGTCGTCATTGTCGTTGTCATCATCATCAGCATCAGCAGCAGCGGCAGCAGCAGCAGCAGCAGCCCCAACCGCAGCAGCATCCTCGTCATCACTGTCATCCTTATCATCATGGTGATTGCAACAAATGAGCCATTAACAACGCCATTTGTGTCTGTAGATATGTTTACTATTGGGAGTATGTGTGATTGTTTTAACATGTTTTACAGTAACCCATGCGGGTAATTAGTAGGAAAACCTATCAACCACCAATATCTTTCGTCCTTCACCTTTTTTTCGTCCCATCGTCCACTCCGCTACTGTTGCCGCGGCATCCAGGATAGCCCCAGCGTGAATTCTCCACATTCACCGCAGTCACCACAATTCACAGCACCTTTTCTGGGCGCTGGGCTGAAAGGCCTCTCAGATTCTCAGCCAAACAAAGGGCCAGGGACAGTGGATACCCAATAGCTGGCCGGTAAAATTTCAGGTTAGTGAATAGAATTTACCGCGGTGACTTCATTTTTTGCTATTTTTGTGGGAAAAAAGTGTGCTCACCACCTGAAAATGATGTCTTCGCGCAGTGTAACATGAGCCATGGCCGTTTGGTACCCCTTACCCCTGGACCCATAGCATACTGTGAATCATGCATTTTCTCTGGTGGTAATTTTGACCCAGGTCCTGAATAGGATTTTACACCGTGAGGACCTTGAGAAACGATTCGTTTGTCCATTGTCATCTGCCCTTGGTTACCTGAGGGTCACGTTTTGTGATGAGAGTTGGTGTGACTGGTGGAGTGGGTGATAGCCATCTCATAACAAAGAACGTTCCAAATTTGTATGGGTCAACAATGGTTTTACAATGATGGTTAATAATAATAGTGGTTAATAATGGTAGTAATGGCAACAGCGATGGGAATGATAATGGGAAAACCATCTATAGTATCTAAGTATCTATAGATACCAATAATGTGGGAAACCCTGACTGACATAAACCTACAAAATGACTGGGGATGGTGAACGAGAACCCAGAAAAGTTGAGATTTCGGGGATGGTTTATGACATTGGTGTTTACCTCATTATTTCTTTCTATCGGAATCAAACCATCCCATTTCTGTGTACCCGAGCTGAATTCATACCTAAACGTAGATGTGACAGTGATTGGGAGTGGGTTTGGTTCTGGACCAAAGAGAAAGTACACTTACCCTTTGGTCATTGAACATAGCTATGCGAGCCATGGCCCATTTATAGATGATAGATGATGATTTACTGATTGGTGGTTTGAAACATTGAAAACTTTTCCATATATATATATATTTATTTATTTATATTCATATTGGGAATGTCATCTGACGAAGTCCATCATTTTTCAGAGGGGTAGGCTCAACCACCAACGGGTTTACCTAGTGATAAGTGGGTGATTTTCCAGGGCACAGCGCTCGTCAAGATAGGAGGGGATCGGTCCAGGATTTTTCAGTGTCTGAAAAACCAGGAAGTGACAAGTAGGGGATGGATTGGTTTAAGGGAAAATTTACAGGAAAACCCCATATTTAATGGGAAAATCAATGGTTTCCTGTAGATTTTCCCTTAAACCAATCCATTGAAAGTAGGGGATGAAAACCATCACATCAGGGAACCAGAAAAATGGGGGGTGTTTAATACAAACAGGGGATGGGATTGTCACCATTTGTTTTCGCCATCATTGGGTTTTGTTATCCACTCATCTAATGTTTATTAATCATTATTAAACATTATTCCCCATAGTCAACAATCATCATTGTCAACCACTAATCATTATCAATCATGATTAACAATGATTAATCGTTGTCACCCATTATTAACCATGATTGCGGTAACCAATATTGACCATTATTAATCATGTCTTGTTTGCAGGGCCTTATCATTTTGACCCATCGCCACGGCGTGATATGGTGTGCTCCCAAGGCAGAAGAATCCAAAAAAATTCGGCACCGCTTGCGGGTTCGCCTAGGCAGATTCAGCGAAGAACGGTGAGCTGACCCCCTAGTCAGTATGTGGGGAATTTATTTTTTGGGGGGAGCAGAGGCTCTTGAGAAAAACCAAATATATATATAATGATTATTGGAATAATTGGAATATTTATGGGAACACCTTCTATTGGAATGATAATATTATATATTATTTCATGTAATATCAATGGAAATAACTATCAGAATTTCCATACTTGGAGGACTATCAAAGGGAATACCTTCTATATTAATTTATGTATCTATAGTATCTTTATAGTGTATTATTGGTATAACCATCAACTTGGATCATCCCACCGAATCGTAAGTGGTTAGTAAGTGAGATTATAAGCCATTTATAAGTGGAGTAAGCCACTTCGAGAGGACTTGCGAAAGTTTGGGTTATTCCAAAGGCACTCAGTGGGATGATCCTGCAAGGTGAACATGGGTCAACGAGAGGTCACCTTCGTTGATGGCTGATTTGTGATGACCGTGACAAGCAAAATTGAGGATTGTGGTGATTGTGATGGTGAAAAACTATAGGATCTTCATTCGTAGCTACCAAGCTGTATCTGGTGGATGTCTCAGTGTGTTTTTCCTGGTTCTACCCGGGATTCCGGGGATAGGCAGGTCACCCTGGTTGTTTCAAGTCACTAAGCCGTGGTCGTTCATGACGACTGGATGATTTGGGGGTCCAACATGACTTATAGGAAACCTCCAATGGAATTTTGATTGCTATTCCCCAATATTCCCCATTTAATCTCATGATAGTCATGTTTCCCACAGCCAGGATTGATCTCTTCACAAGTGTTTCTGGGCTGCAGGACTGTGTTATATCATCCGATACGAGTAAATCTCCAGTAAATTACCATCAGATGGATGTGGATCAAAAAGCCATGAATGTTGCCGTAGTAAAGCAATGTCATGTTTGCCACCCATATGGATTGATGGTTGGGGATGGTTGGAACCCCCAAAAAATGCTATGTCTTTGGGAGTGGTGGGTCCTATCCGCATCACCATCTTTCGAACCTCAGCAACCAAATTGAATTGGGGCAACCGGTCTTCCAAAATGAACCAAAACATGTCAGGTAAGTAATTTTGTTCATTCATCATTGATATAACTGGAATACATTGTGGGAATTCTGATTTAATTTTCGATAAATAAAATGGAATATAATTAGTATGCTCGTTTATATTATGTATTATGTACATTGAATTTATTGGGCCACAATGGATTACAATGGGATATTCAACATGATAGTTATTTTAGATATGTTTAGATATCATGATATCAGAGCATGGGAATATGATTCTAATTTGATGAATATGGTGCACCATGGGAATATTAAATATCCGGGATGGAAAAATGGGTTTGTCTGAAAATAGGCTACCCCAAAATCCATTGGTTGACAGGAATATTCTTCATTAAACAACAATTTTTGGGTGTTTACTCCATTTTCAGACACACCCAAATAGGGGTTTCCATAAATGAGGGTACCCAATAGCTGGATGGTTCATTTCATGGAACATCCCAGCTCTGAATGGATGATTTGGGGGGTACCTTCATTTCAGGAAACTTCCAAATGTATTGGGATATCAAAATTCACCCAGCAATCCGTGAAGACCTCCGTTGATATTTTTCGAGGCTCGTCTCGGGGAAGGCACTCCACGACGCTGTGGCCTCCTTAGGTCTCACTCGCCCCTTGGTGGTGTCGATTGGAATGGCTGGGGAGCTGGGAATGCCCAGGTTAAACCCTTGGAGTTTGTTACATCATGTTCACCCCAATGCAGTTGTATGTCATCTTTGTCGTCGTCGTCGTCGTCGCCGTCGTCGTCGTCGTCTTCGTCGTCGTCGTCGTCGTCGTCGTTGTTGTTGTTGTTGTCGTTGTCGTTGTGCTTGTCGTTGTGCTTGTCGTTGTTGTCATTGTTGTTGTTGTTGTTGTTGTTGTTGTTGTTGTTGTTGTTGTTGTTGTTGTTGTTGTTGTTGTTGTTGTTGTGGTCGTCGTCGTCGTCGTCGTTGTTGTTGTCGTTGTCGTTGTTGTTGTTGTTGTTGTCGTCGTCGTCGTTGTTGTTGTTGTCGTTGTTGTTGTTGTTGTTGTCGTTGTTGTTGTTGTCGTTGCTGTTGTTGTTGCTGTTGTTGTTGATGTTGTTGTTGTTGTTGTGGTTGTTGTTGTGGTTGTTGTTGTTGTTGTTGTTGTTGTTGTTGTCGCTGTTGTTGTTGTCGTTGTTGTTGTTGTCGTTGTTGTTGTTGTTGTCGTAGTTTTTATTTTTCAAGCAATTGCATTTAATGAGGGTAATAATCTGGTGGCACTTTTGTATGACCCTTGGTTTAAGATGATGCGCGCTGGATCTATTCCGAGAGGCTCTGTGGATCGGCAAATTTCGGCCTTCCCCCTATTACTAAAGGTACCCCAGATATCCCCCAGATGCTTATGCTTAGAGGGGGGTATATTGGAGGGAAGGGATTCAGATCTAGTAAACAGACTAGGTTCGCGTATTTGGTTGTTCCTTCATCCCTACGACATCCCTTAGTTTCCAAAGTTTTTAGCCAGGCCGTTTATCCCTGGCTATCCCTGGCTCCAAAGAGCTTCCGAGCTTCCGAGCTTCCACGATCCAAGGCTATGAGCTTGCAGACTACAACGAGATGGTGCCCTGACTTTGTCGTCCACCCGTGGTGATTTGGGGAGTCGAGCTGAGCTCTGAATGCTCGATGAAACGTATGGTTACCACCTGGGATGAAACGCCAACTGACTTCCAATATATTTTCGTTGTTGGGTGGCTCAACGACCAACCAGAGATGGAGGTCCGAAGGTCCAATGAAGTGGTGATGACCGTTTGAATCCTCACTGGCAACACCTTGGCTTTTAGCTATGAATGGGGGGAAATTCATAGATATTACACTTGATGTCGCAACTGACTGGTTCTGCTTGGAAGCTAGTGTAAGTTTACCCTCCAGTAAACTAACATAACTATGGACACTTGCATATTTATAGATCTATAGTCGATTTACCATTAAAAAATGACGATTTACATAGCTACTTGGTCAACCTTGCTTAGATGCTTTAGTACTTTAATCTTTTGCCATGGTGATATGTACATCACCAGATGAACATGTGATTTTTGGGCCGTCTAAGATTCACCAATGGCTATGTTAGTTGTGGACAACGTAAGCTTTGCCATGCCAGAAAAAGACACCAGGTGAACCTCATCGCGGATTTCATAGAGTTGGACTTTGCGGAGCCTTCGTCATCCGCATCATCGTTCGTTTGAAGTTTCTTAAGTCATGGTACCCCAAATCAGACTTAGACTTAGAGACTTAGACGTAATGACTTAGTATTAAAACCGGTTTTATGTGTCCATTTTCTGAAAGCTCCAGATGTTCATGAGGTTTCATGCGAATACCATGAGTATGATGATTATAGTCTTTCTTTACCTTTTCTTGACCCTCCCAATACCCCTGTAAAAATGTTAATCAAAGTACTAAAATGATGGTGTAAAACACAATTTTCATAGGTACAAATAACGGGGGGTCTAGGAAGCTGTGAGGAGTCGTGGTAAAGCTAATAAATTTATGAAGTTGGGTATAGTATAGCCCTGTAGCAATGTTATGGTTTAAAGGGACCACCAAAACTGTGATTGGTCACGATGGTTTATGGCATTGGGTCTACCTCATTACTTCAATGTATATATATGTTTATATAATCAAAGGAAGTTGGGAAGCAATACTTCCGTGTTACGGACAAATAGAATTGTGAGACTTGACATTGATGAAGGGCGGTGTGAGACTTGACATCACATAACATACATCACAAAAGAATAATAGGCTATGACACAGGGTGGTGACGAAGGGCAGTGGTGACCTAGGGAAATGGTGACGAAGGGAAGCGGTGAGGATGGGACGTGGTGACGAAGGGAAGTGGTGACGTTTGTGTTGGGGAGGAAGCCGGAGCACGAAACCTTGTATTTTTCTGTGTAAAGTGGCTGCAGGCGGCGTTGAAAGGTACCTCGTGTGTGCGGCGGTTGCGGCTGCTCCGGACGTAACGGGTTCCTCCTCTGTGTTCTGAAACGAGTGGTTGTTCCTGCGTACATAGTTCTATGCGTTTCTTCAATCTGTGGTTGCAGATCGCATTGGAGTGGCTGCGTCAAGGTTGCTTGGTGCCGCGGCTGCATGCGTAATACTATTGCCTTTTGCAGCTCGACTTCGTAAATCGTATTGGAGTGGCTGCATGAAGGCTGCGACAGTGATTTGTCAGCAGATTTTTGCAATTTTGGCGCTAGTAATTTTCCTTTTAAAAGTTTTTTCAAAAAGTCATTCAAAATCGTTTTTTTTCGCTTTGGCGTCGAGATCCAGTTTTGGAGCTGCATCCGATGCCGTTGTGCGTAGTTCTATTGTGTTTCGCAATGCGGTGCCTGCAGATCGCATTGTAGTCGCTGCCTCAAGGTTGCTTGGTGCCGCGGCTGCATGCGTAATACTATTGTCTTGTGCAGCTGGATCTCGTAAATCGTCTTGGAGTGGCTGCATCAAGGCTGCGAAAGTGATTTGTCAGCAGATTTTCTCAATTTTGGCGCTAGTAATTTTCCGTTTTAAAGTGCTTTTAAAAGGTGTTTCAAAATCAAAATGTTTTTTTTTTCGCTTTGGCGTCGAGATCCGGTTTTGGAGCTGCAATTCCTGTTGTGATTATGTACAAGAAAGCTTCTCTGTGTAAAAACTTTTTTCTGAAAAGGCTTGCTGTGTGTAAAAGATTTCGTGTGTAAAAGCTTGCTGTGTGTAAAAGCTTCTCTGTGTGTAACAGCGTCTCTTTGTAAAAGTTTCTGTGTAAACGGTTGCCATGTGTAAAAGCACTGTGTGTAAGTCTAAGTGTTCTGTGTGTAAACGCTTGCCGTGTGTGAAAGCTTGCTGTGTGTAAAAGCTTCTCTGTGTAAAAGCTTGTTGTGTGCAAAAGCTTCTCTGTGTGTAACAGCTTCTCTGTTTAAAAATCTTGCTCTGTGTGTAAACGCTTGCCATGTGTAAAAGCACTGTGTGTAAGTGTTCTGTATGTAAACGCTTGATGTGTGTGAAAGCTTGCTGTGTGTAAAAGCTTCTCTGTGTAAAAGCTTGGTGTGTGTAAAAGCTTCTGTGTGTAAAAGCTTGTTGTGTGTAAAAGTTTCTCTGTGTGTAAAAGCTTCTCTGTTTAAAAAGGTTGCTGTTTGTGTAAACGCTTGCCATGTGTAAAAGCACTGTGTGTAATTGTTCTCTGTGTAAACGCTTGATGTGTGTGAAAGCTTGCTGTGTGTAAAAGCTTCTCTGTGTAAAAGCTTGGTGTGTGTAAAAGCTTCTGTGTGTAAAAGCTTGTTGTGTGTAAAAGTTTCTCTGTGTAAAAGCTTCTTGTGTGTAAAGGCTTCTCTGTGTGTAAAAGCGTCTCTGTGTAAAAGTTTCTGTGTAAACGCTTGCCATGTGTAAAAGCACTGTGTGTAAGTGTTCTGTGTGTAAGTGTAAACGCTTGCTGTGTGTAGAAGCTTCTCTGTGTAAAAGCTTGTTGTGTGTAAAAATTTCTCTATGTGTAAAAGCTTCTCTGTTTAAAAAGCTTGCTGTGTGTGTAAACGCTTGCCATGTGTAAAAGCACTGTGTGTAAGTGTTCTGTGTGTAAACGCTTGATGTGTGTGAAAGCTTGTTGTGTGTAAAAGCTTCTCTGTGTAAAAGCTTGTTGTGTGTAAAAGCTTCTCTGTGTAAAAGCTTGTTGTGTGTAAAAGTTTCTCTGTGTGTAAAAGCTTCTCTGTTTAAGAAGCTTGCTGTGTGCGTAAACGCTTGCCATGTGTAAAAGCACTGTGTGTAATTGTTCTGTGTGTAAACGCTTGATGTGTATGAAAGCTTGCTGTGTGTAAAAGCTTATCTGTGTAAAAGCTTGTTGTGTGTCAAAGCGTCTCTGTGTAAAAGCTTCTTGTGTGTAAAGGCTTCTCTGTGTGTAAAAGCGTCTCTGTGTAAAAGTTTCTGTGTAAACGCTTGCCATGTGTAAAAGCACTGTATGTAAGTGTTCTGTGTGTAAACGCTTGCTGTGTGTGAAAGCTTGCTGTGTGTAAAAGCTTCTTGTGTGTAAAAGCTTCTTTGTGTAAAAGCTTCTCTGTTTAAAAAGCTTGCTGTGTGTAAAAGCTTCTATGCGAAAGAACTTGCTGTGTGTAAAAGCTTTCTTAGTGAAAGCTTTGTTTCACAAAGTAGTACTGGGACGTACTTTGCGCAAGCTTTGTAGTACAAAGTACTACAGGGAAGCGCCTTGCGCGAGCTTCGTCGTACAAAGTAGTACTGGGAAGTACTTTTTGCAAGCTTTGTGGTACAAGGTAGTACTGGGACGTACTTTGCGCAAGCTTTGTAGTACAAAGTACTACAGGGAAGCGCCTAGCGCGAGCTTCGTAGTACAAAGTAGTACTGGGCAACTTTTTGCAAGCTGGTACAAAGTAGTAGTACTGGGACGTGCTTGTGCAAGCTGTGTAGTACAAAGTAGTACTGGGAAGTCCTTTGTGCAAGCTTTGTAGTACAAAGTATTTCGGAAAAGTTTTTCTGTCTATAATATAAAAATTCATGTGTGTCTCAAGTGTCTGTGTGCACAAACTTTCTGCGCCCAATGTTGTTTTTGTGCAAGAGACATCTCTCTGACAGTAAGAGCTTTCTGGCATGCAGAACAGCTGAGATGAGTTGAGAACAACTTCGAGGAGATGAGAAAGGTTGATCAGTGCTCGGGTGAGATGAAAACAGTTGAACTTACTTTGATGACATGTGAGAAGAGATGGGATGAGATGAGAAGAGCTGAGATGAGGTGAGAAGAGCTCACATGCTTTGAGATGAGATGAAGTGTGGAGTGTGAAGTGTTGAGTGTGAAGTGTGGAGTGTGAAGTGCAAGTGTGAAGTGTGGAGCGTGAAGTGCGAAGAGTGCAGTGTGAAGTGTGAAGTGTGCGGAAAGTCTTCGCTTGGCGTTGCCTTGCACCGGGGTTGGGCGCAGGTCATGTTCTTGGACAACATCTGTGCAACAGCTTCGCACAAAGCACGCACGCACCGGCCTGGCTAGCGCACGGCGCATGCAAGTTCTATAGATGAGAAAGGTCTTATAGTATATCCCTAAGGTAACTTCCGCCCCGCCTCGTGCGGGTACTACTGGTATATATATATATGTTTATATATGATGTACAATTATGGCTTTGTTTTCGACAAATTAAAAGATATGATTTAGATGTATAATTGCCATTGAATTAGTATATATGGCACGGGATCTGAACGCGGTGATGACGTCCCTAGATAGTAGTGATGCCGAATGACATTTTCTTGCTTCTATTTCCCATGATGTCAGTTTTTCTCCATAGATGTGCGTGTATGTTCCGTTGCACACTTTTGGCATAATATACCAGTAGTACCGCACAAGGGGGTGGCGGAAGTTTCAGAAATAGGAAACCTATAGGAGAGGTTGGTTGTTGTGAATCACGGATGGCAGAGCGAAGCCACTGATGGACCGACAGGTGGTTGAGGTCTCCTCTCTTTCTCTCTTTCTTTCTTTCTTTCTTTCTTTCTTTCTTTCTCTGACTATCTACCTACCTACCTTCTCTCTCTCTCTCTCTCTCTGTCTGTCTGTCTGTCTGTTTGTCTGTCGGTCGGTCGGTCTGTCTGTCTGTCTGTCTGTCTGTCTCTCTCTCTCTCTCTCTCTGTCTCTATCTATCTATCTATCGATCTATCTATCTATCTTTCTATCTATCTATCTTGCATCTATCTATCTTTCTTTCTTTCTATCTATCGTTCTTTCTTTCTTTCTTTCTTTCTTTCTTTCTTTCTTTCTTTCTTTCTATGTATCTATGTATCTATGTATCTATATTTCTTTGTTTCTATCTATCTATCTATGTATGTATCTATCGATGGATGTATCGATCTATCGATCTATCAATCTATCTATCTATCTATCCATCTATCTACCTATCTATCTATCTAACTATGTCTCCATCTATCTCCCCATCTACCTATCTATCTGTCTGTCTGTCTGTCTGTCTGTGTGTCTATCTATCTATCTATCTATCTATCTATCTATCTATCTATCTATCTATCTATCTATCTATCTATCTATCTATCTCTGTCTATCTATCTATCTATCTACCTATCTAGCTATCTATCTATCTATCTATCTATCTATCTTTCTATCTATCTATCTATCTATCTATCTATCTATCTATCTATCTATCTATCTATCTATCTATCTCTTCTGTCTATCTAACTATGTCTCCATCGATCTCCCCATCTACCTATCTATCTGTCTGTCTGTCTGTCTGTCTGTCTATCTATGCACCTGTCTATCTGCAATTCTGCGAGACTTCCTCAATGTTTGAACTTGACAACGTCAAAAACGAAGCAATTCTGCGAGACTTCATTTTTCAAAGTTTACAACATCAAAAACGAGGCAATGCTGCGATACTTCCTCAATTTTTGAACTTAACAACGTCAAAAACGAAACAATTCTGCGAGACTTCATCATTTTTCAAACTTGACAACATCAAAAAACGAAGCAATTCTGCGAGACTTCCTTCAAAAATGGAAAGTTGAGTGCAGAGCTGACGGCCTCGTGCCAATGCGTTTTGCGATTTTTCCAGTCCATCTGTCTAAACTACTGCGCCTGCCACGAAAACATACGAAGTGCTGCACCTGTCACGCAAAATCATCTCAGCAAACCTGAAGATCTGATGCTCCAAAATGCAACCGCTCTCAGGAAATCAGCGCCCTGACCTCCTAACAGCCCTCTTCAAATGTCCCACGCCTGCCATCGTTCTTGGACATGCTGCAAAACCCTCACGTTTTGCTCGTCCACAATCCCTTGCGCCTGTCACGCGAAAGCACATCTGAACCTCCAAAAGTGGTCCGAACCCCTGGTGTTTTTAACATTTTGACTTCGAAATGTGCTTCGCGCCACAACGGCGCGCACTTTTTCGACATCTCAACTTCCTTAAGTGGTCCGTACGTGGTGTGTTTTGTACATTTTGACTTCGAAATGTGCTTCGCACCACAACGGCGTGCAATTTTTCATCTCTCATCTGACCAGCTGGCTCCGCACCCGCCGCTTTAGCGAGCCTACTTTTGGACCCTCCGGAACCACAAATCATTGGAACAACACAGTGTTTCGCGACTTTCCTACCTTTTCGCGCGCCTGCATCTTCTTTCTTCTGACTCTTTCTCTTCTCTGATCTTCTCTCTTCTACTCTTCTCTCTTCTACTCTTCTCTTCTCTCTGACTCTTCCCACCTCTGCTTTTAATCTGTCCATGTTGTCGGAAGTTTGACTTCTAAACTTCCTTAGATGATTCCTTTTTCAATTCTTTTCATAATCGATGTTTCTTGATGGTGTACCCCCATGATATCCAATCATCATCACAAGTAGTTTGATCTGAACAAACCGTCGCCTCACCATAGATGGCAGTTAGTGAAGGAAACGATTAAAAATCAATTATGTCATGTCATCATGTCCGTTTGATGAAATATGATCTCTTGATATCTCTTGTTCTACAATGATATTATTTCTACATTATTGTTCATTGTATCAAGACAAAAAGGGTCTTCTTGTACATAAGAAAGATCATTTTGTGCATGATTATGGTTTCTTTTTCTACAATGATAGCCCCTCCCACATGTGATAAACACTTCACCCCCGGAGGCGTCTCACCCACTATGATTTCGCCCCCCCTTCTATGGGTCCCATCAAAACGGTAGCCTTTGTGAATTCGATCCCATTCCAAAAACAAAAATCTTAATGGTTCCTGAGTATCCCCATCAAATACCATTTTTCCAATTTCTCCCTATTAAGAAAAAACAACATAAAATATCATAAAATCACAATTTTCAGTGGATTTCTCCCCATCAACTCCCGCTTTGGTCGCAACGACTTCGTCCGGAGGAGAAGGAAATGCGCCCGAGTCGCTTGTCACACGACTCGGAGACGCGGAATCGGAGCATCTTTAGCCTCCAAGCGGAGTCGCAGGAGCGCTTGCAGCGGGATCAAAGGGAGGGAATGGTAAGAAAATCATGGGACGACAATATTTGTACTTGCTTATGTGTATTAATAATATATATATATATACATTAACCTATGTATATCTATAGTAACAGATATATATATATATATATTAACTTATATATATATATATTAACATATATTAGCATTTCAAACCTTAGTCTCTTAAATTTGGATTCCTGTTGATTTCATATGTCCAGGGAAAGAACTATGGAAAGAACTATGTAGCAATCCATGGAAATAAGGGGTGTTCCCACTAAAAATGTCACCCAATGAAGAAACCCACCACTTTGAAAGAGAAACCCATTGCTCCAAGTTCTTGGACAAAAAACCTTTCAACATCAAGTTAGATGTTACATACAAATTTCGTATTTGAAAATATTGGTCCGTAAGTTGGAAAGGAAAACAGTATACAACAATATACAACATCTGTGTAATTCGGGGCCCCATATTTCTTCAAAAAGGAGAACACCAAAGAATGCATGTGCGCAAGCCCCAACTAGAAAAGAGAACTCATAAAAACAATATTACGATGTGACCCTGTATACTGTAAAATTGGTTAACTAGTGCATTGATGAGTGTATGTATGGCTGTGTGCTCATGTGCATGGATGAACTGCAAATGCAAATCCACAGTTTTTAAGTATTGTTTTCGGTGCTGCGAAGACCACGGTAAAACTTAGGTAAAACATGGTGAAACAAATTTATCAACTGCAAACGGAATCCTACGTATTTGTGGCAGATCAAAGATGTGTTACTGCATTTCTGTCGCTACGTTGTTGTGCATTGGTCCGTAGCAGTGTTGCAGTAACAGATTACAATCATTATAAATATGTCATTTTATCCAAATACAACGCTTAAACTTTATTGTTGCGTTTTACACAAACAAACCCCGTCGATATACTTCCAAACTTTCAAACATACACGAACAAACAAGAACATATAATTCATCTAAAAACTCAAACAGTCTTATATAAATCATAAATACAAAGCAAGTAAAGTAAAGCAAACATCAAAAAATACTTATAAAGTGTTAAACAGTTGAAGTGAAATCGAGAAGTAAAGTCAAAGTTATGTTACAAGTTAAAGGTTCTAAGTTTTAGTTATAGGTTGTAAGTTCAAAGTTAAAAGGTTACAAAGTTATAAGTTACACAGTTTTTAGTGTCAAGTCATAGCTAGAAGCTCTAAGTTGTAAAATAACAGTTATAACAATGTGTTTCAATTTTAAAACAGTTCCTAAACCTTATACATTGTTTTATTGAAGTTTGATAGTCAAGAGTTATGAATTATGAGTTGTATTTTACAAAGTAGCTATAAGCTACAAGTGTGTATATTTGGTTTTATCAAGTTATATACAAATATAAAAGTACGTTAACATATAAGCCATTATTTGGGGTTTGCAGAACGGTTCGGAACGGTTCCGGGGATTTCCCCAGAACGGTTCGGAACGGTTCCGGATACTTCCAAAACCTCAGAACTATTTAGAACTATTTAGAACGGTTCCGGAACGGTTCCGGATTCAAAGCCTATAGACCCCAGAACGGTTCGGAACGGTTCCGGAGACCTCCATATAATAGCATATGTTAACTTGTATAATAGCATATTTTGACTATATAATTATTTTACTTTAATACAGAGAGTTTGAACAAATAAACACATACTAGTACCATAAGCAATGATGATTCAACACAAGCGATACTTTCAAATGGATATTTCAATACAAACTACACAGTTGTATGATTTTGTTAGAAAAGATTCCACAGAACAGTTTTCAAGACAGGTAAGATTTTGAAAGGGGCCACGCCTTCCATGAACAAACAGCTGAGAAACTTCCAGCCTTTTGTAGTCTACATCCAGTTTCACCTTCTCCCTTGTGCTCAGCATGCCTTTGCACTGCCTGTTCAAAGACTTAGGCGGAGAAGTTGCCTCCCCTTTGTCGTTTTTCTGACTCCCTTGTAGCCTTGGCCCTTGGAGCCACAGGGCGGCTCTTTGGAAGGTTTTGAAAATGCGAAACAGGAGGAACTGCTCTTGACCGTTTTTTTGGGGGGTTTGGAAGCTGTGGAGAAATATTTCCGTGCAAAGTTGAGGTCTGCAGAACCGTTCCGAACCGTTCTGGAGGTCTGCAGAACCGTTCCGAACCATTCTGGAGACCTCTGCGCTAAGAAAATTGTCACGTAAATTGGTTCTCTGTGCCAAGAATCCCGGGAATAGGAAGGCACGGACAAGGTTGAGCCATTCCGGATGCATTAGTCCCAACCTGAAAGTATAACCCATCATCACCCTCAAGAACCCCACCGCTAGCGCTATATATATATATATTCTGAAAAGTATCAAATCATGGTCCAAGAAATTATCGGCAGCTATATACAATATAGTTTGTTTCTTGTATGGGTAGTAGCACGGTAGTAGCAACAGTCTTGCCAGAGTGACAAAATACCAACAATATAGCCTGGATGTCGCACTGCTGCCGCTACTGCATATTTTTGATCCATTCCAGAACTGGTGGGGAAAAAGACAGCAATGGGAATGCAGCCAACAACCAGCATTGCCTTTGTTCTTTTTTTGAAAAGGGAAGTCACATAATCCCAACAGCCTGAACACATTGCAGAAGCCAGCTCAGCGCGCCCAAACACACATGGACTGCCTTCCAAGTAATTGAAATTACATATTGATAGAATTCGACTTCAGCGCCTGTTCCTTCCACCTAAGTATTTCTCCAATTGCGCTTAAACCGCCTGAATCTTCCCTCAAACAAATGCAGCATCATAAATTAAACCCACTATCTGTATGCGGGCTCTGTATTTATTCAAGGTTTCAAGTATTCGGGGCAAGGTTGTTAAGTAATCAAAGCTGAATTTAGCCGAGTCTCGCACTAGAAAATTAATTATCTGCAAATAGAATTCCACTTCGTCGTTTGTTTCTGTCGCCTGAGTATGTCTCCCATCTTGAAGGGAAAGCAAACCATATTTTCACCCAAATGCCAGCCCCAGACTAGAATTTGGAATGCATAATCTACTTAAGCGCACATAGAATTCTACTTAGGCGTCAGCTTGTGACGCCCAAGCAAAATTCTATTTGCGCCTAAGTAGATCATGGATTATGTTTTCCAACAGCCCCAGACTAGATTTCTATTTGCGCATAAGTAGATTATGAATATAAATTATGTCTTCCAACAGCCCCAGACTAGAATTTGGAAGACATGGTCTAATTAGGCGCAAATAGTAATAGAATTCTACTTAGGCGTCAGTTCGTGACGCCTAAGCAAAATTCTTTTTTGCGCCAAAGTGGATTATGAATTATGTCGTCCAACCGCCCCAGACTAGAATTCTATTTGCGCCTAAGTAGATTATGACTATGAATTATGTCTTCCAACAGCCCCAGACTAGAATTTGGAAGACATGGTCTAATAAGGCGCAAATAGTAATAGAATTCTACTTAGGCGTCAGTTCGTGACGCCTAAGCAGAATTCTTGTTTGCGCCCAAGTAGATTATGAATTTTGTCTTCCAACAGCCCCAGACTAGAATTTGGAATGCATAATCTATCTGGCGCAAATAGAATTCTACTTAGGCGTCAGTTCGTGACGCCTAAGTAGAATTTTATTTGCACCTAAAATTACCTAAGTAGATTTAGTCTTCAAAAGAAAGACCGAAACATAAGTTCACCCCAATCTCACAATCAGAATTTTATATCTATAGACTGTGAATCAGATAGGTATAAAGTATCCATGGCAAGTTTTTGTTATTTGCAAAACTGAATTCATCACCGGTCCACAATACAAATTCAATTTAGGTCAAGTACTTCACGACTTTGAGTGCAAATCCAGATTGATGAATCTGGATGTGTCCTCGCTGTGTGCATTGTTTTGTTTCTTTACTTCTTCAAAAGCTTGCTAATTTTCCATTGACATGGTTTCTAACATCACCTTCTATAAGATATCCTTGTTGCCCTGGTTTCTTCCATAGTCCCTTCCATAGTTCCCTCCATGGTCCACAAGGCCCACAGGTTAAGAGGCTAAAGTTTGAAATAATATATTATCATATATTTATATATATATATTAACATATATATATATATATTAACATATATATATATATATATTAACATATATATATTAACATATATATATATTAACATATATATAAATATATATATTAACATATATGTTTGCTTCTATGAATATATATATATATATGTATGTATATATATTTGTATGTATATATATATTATATATATATATGTTTTTTTTAATATATATTTTTAAGTATTCCCACTACATGAATATTCCCACTATATGTCCCCATTTTATTCATATTGTGAAACTTTATAGGGGAATATAATTGAGAAATATATATCATTGGACAATATATGGGATATAGTTTTTTCAAATTTTATGTTTACTGCAATGTTTGTAGTGGGTATTTATCATGGGACAACATACTTGATAACGGAATACAGCGGTATTACAATGACTATGGGAAATAATTGTAATCGTATCAATATATTCCCACTATATAAGTACATATATACATTAAGTATTTCTAGGTTCCCAAGTAACATATAATTCATGAATTCAAGCAATTTCCCATACGTAGATACTTTATATATATATATACACATATACATTTGGGAAATCGTTATATGTAAAATCTTGCGAAATATGATATACCAATTCATTATATTTCAACTTCAACCTGTGTATATCTATATGTGTGTGTGGCAATATAATGAGTATCATTAGTGTTTACATATGCTGAATATATTGGGATGCCATTGGAATATAACGAATATGATAATACGGGCAATGGGACGATGATGGGAATGAATAGTGACTACCATGATGATGATGATGATGATGATAAGATATACCATGATGTGAACTAGTTCATACTCCCATAAATACATATATGGTGTATATATAGTGTGTATATATATATATATATAATTATATAATGGGAATGTCAGGATGTCATTGGACTATTGTGAATATGATGACTGCGTTGATTAATATGTATTTCCAGAAGTGTATAGGTATAATATGGAAATGCCTTCTCTCATTTTCATTTTTTTACATGTCCATACTTTTCAGTCATTTCCATACTATTCAGCATGAGTATATTTGGACATGTCATGCCCAAATTAACAAAAACATGGGTGAGATGGAAAACATGTTTTTTGGTGGTTGTCCTATATTATCAATTACAGTAGGGCATGGACACCGTTTGGTTAGCACACAGTCACTAGGAAAATATGGGGACAAAATACATGAAGTCATTCGCTTTGCTAAAGATTGAAGGCACATCGATCATTGGTTCAACATGTTAAAAACCAATCATTTCAAATTAATTGCCAATCTCTCTATCTATTTGCTTGAGATCGAACACAGTTGCCAAACTTTTAGTCCCATCATGTTTTGAAACCAGTACTTGATGCAAAAAAAACAGAGGCTGTTTGGATTTTTTTGGGTTTCAAACTTGGCAATGGAACAATTATTATCCATGTAGAGGATCTTCCTACTAGTTACCTCCATGCAATTTCGAGGTTAAAAGTCAGCCCGAAAAATGGAGGATCGACCATTCCAAGTCAGGTATCTATAGCAAAACACAACGTTGGACGTTGGACAAACAGAATTCAAATTGGCTACCCTCTGGTAAACGTTTCCATAACTATGGAAAACCACCATTTTTCATGGTTAAATCCACTATAAATGGCAATTTTCAATAGCTATGTTAGAATCTGCTTGGTGGTTTGGAACATGTTTTTTATGACTTTGTATTCAGTTGGGAATGTCATCATCCCAACTGATTTTTCCCCACCTGCCAGGTGAGGGTTGTTAGATTTTATGTCAGTTGCCTCCTCCTCCTCCTCCTCCTCCTCCTCCTCCTCCGCCTCCTCCTGCCTCGTCCTCCTCTCCTCCTCCTCCTCGTCCTCCTTGTCATCCTTGTCGTCCTTGTCGTCCTCGTCGTCCTCGTCGTCCTCGTCGTCCTGGCTCAACTGCGACCCGCGATCCACAGTGTTCTCTGCCGGACCTCAACCACGACCACCCACGCCCAGTGTTCCCTGCCGGACCTCAACCACGACCATCCACGCCCAGTGTTCCCTGCCGGACCTCAACCACGACCATCCACGCCCAGTGTTCCCTGCCGGACCTCAACCACGACCATCCACGCCCAGTGTTCCCTGCCGGACCTCAACCGCGACCATCCACGCCCAGTGTTCCCTGCCGGACCTCAACTGCGAGTATCCACGCCAAGTGTTCCCTGCCGGACCTCATGTAGGAATGTCAGATAGACTGCCAGATAGAATGCCAGATAGAATGTCAGATAGGATGCCAGATAGAATGCCAGATAGAATGCCAGAAAGAATGCCAGAAAGAATGCCAAATAGAATGCCAGATAGAATGTCAGATAGGATGCCAGATAGAATGTCAGATAGAATGCCAGAATATATGTCGGATATAATGCCAGATAGAATGCCAACATGTATGCCAGAATATATGTCAGATAGAGTGCCAGAATATATGCCAGAATATATGCCAGATAGAATGCCAACATGTATGCCAGAATATATGTCAGATAGAGTGCCAGAATATATGCCAGAATATATGTCAGATAGAATGCCAGAATATATGTCAGAATAAATGACAGGTAGAATGCCAGAATATATGTCAGATGAAATGTCAGAAAATATGTCAGATAGAATGCCAGATAGACTGCCAGATAGAATGCCAGGTGGAATGTCAGGATATATGCCAGATAGAATGCCAGAATATATGCCAGAATATATGTCAGATAGGATGTCAGAATATACTAAATATATGTCCAAATATTCGTCCTGACATGTCATGGTGGGGATCACACGAAGTAGAGTATTTTTTTTTCAGAGGGGTAGGTATACCACCAACCAGAAATTGGCTATCAGTTGTAACATTGTAACATCTCAAAACGCTTTGTTTGACGAGTGTCACACTGTGTTGCGCCGATAGCCCCGCCCAATTTTTGGATCCCCAGTCATCACTTTGGTTGTTTCAATAAAAAGTCATGGTCCGAAGACTTGGATGGCTTGGGGGGTAGCTCTATGACTTAGGAAACCTCCACATCTATCCAACTACAATTCCGCCAGGGGCTAGTGTATGATTGACTTGGGCAATGTGTTAGATCTATTTAGGGTTGGTTTACTATTCGGAGGTCAACATTACAATGTCAGATGCAAGATGGTTTCCTCATTAACCAATGGTGGAGTTTATTGGCCAACATGTTTTGACACATCCATGTGTGGGTGCTTTGTTCCATTACCGATTCATGGTTATTTTTCTGTTCATATCTTGTGGTTAAAGTTAAATTTGATCAACCTCTCTTTGAAACTGGCCAAACATTTGCTACCCTCTGGTAAATAAACATAGACCCTGAAAATCACCCATTTGTAATGGAAACTAATCTTCCAACCCCTATCTGGCAGGGTCTATGTTAATTTACTGGAGAGTAACATGTGCAAACCAATCATGCTGGATTTGTGACCTGGAGATTTGGCAAATCCACCATGCCATGCCACCATGGTTTTCCGGTAGGACTTGGTGGCCAAGCTTGGAATGCCCATCTGGCATTGGCCCAAGGACGGACTCGGTGACCCACGTAGGACATTGCTGGCAATTTACAAAATATGTACCCTCTGGTAAACGTCTACATAACTGTGGAAAATCACCATTTTGAATGGGAAAATCAACTATAAATGGCCATGTTCAATAGCTAATTATGTTAGTTCCCAACGCCACCCCCAGGCAACTGGTAACGAAACCGGTGTTTTTATTTTTTGGGGGCTTGGGGTGGGGTGGGGGGGATGTTACAACGTCCCTGTGAACTTACTCACGTCATGTATGCTTTTTGAACTTCGGGGTTTGGGTGGGGTGAGGGGGGATGTTAGTGTCCCTGTGAACTTGCTCACGTTGGGTATGCTTCGTGAACTTCGGGGTTTGCGTGGGGTGGAGGAGATGTTAGTGTCCCTGTGAACTTGCTCACGTTGGGTATGCTTCGTGAACTTCGGGGTTTGCGTGGGGTGGAGGAGATGTTAGTGTCCCTGTGAACTTGCTCACGTTGGGTATGCTTCGTGAACTTCGGGGTTTGCGTGGGGTGGAGGAGATGTTAACGTCCCTGTGAACATGCTCACATCATGTATGCTTCGTGAACTTCGGGGTTTGGGTGGGGTGGCGGGGATGTTAACGTCCCTGTGAACTTGCTCGCGTCATGTATGTTTTGGCTGGGTTATCTATATAATATTATATTTATATATATATATATATTACACAATGAAAACCACATTTAGATACATATATGTATTTAAACATGTGCATGCATATACATTTATTTTCACTATTATATACATACACATGCGCGTATATTCTTGTCTTTTTTTTTTATGCCCTTAATTTTATTTCTCACCTACCGGCACACACACATACATTTATATATTTATATTTATATATACATCACATGCACACATATTTATATATTATATGTATAGGTTATCTAAGATTTAAAAGGTATGCTTTCATATGGTTCTATCTTATGCCAGAGGTTCGTGTTTAAGGTGGCAAGTTTGGTGGCAAGTTCGGTGGCGGTGGCAGTTAGATATGGCAATGTGGGTGGCAGTTTCAGTGGCAATGAAGCGTTGGTGGCAAGTTTGATGGCAGAATGTGATGGCAAAAATGGTGGCAACCGTATTTTGGTGGCAAAAGGGGTGGCAACTGTGCATGGCAAAAATTGAGCCGGAAGTTTAGCAACAACATTTTTCCTGCAGCAGAGGTGTCAAAATTTGATGGCAGCTTTTTGGGCAGAAAAGGTTGCAAACACCTTCAGTCACAAAAAGGCGTTGAGTGTACATGGCACATGTTGACAGAAAGGGTGTGAGAGACTTTTTGGCGGCAAATGGGGTGGTAAGTTGATGGCAAAAGTGCTGGCAAAATTTGGTGCTACATCAACTACAGAGAAAGATGTTGACCAAAATCATGCCAGCCCTATTGCACCTTCTGCGGAGGCGACACCCACCGACCCTACGAATTAAAGGACCAGATAACCCCACATGGCAACTTCTTCCAATAATGAGCACCAAATGTTGTAGCGGGGACGGGGAAGAAAGGAAAGACAAAGGAGGTGGTGGAGGACCGAGAAGTAAAACAAAATTGTGTGTGTGTGTGTGCTACAAAGTTGTGTGTGGAAGATGGTGTGTGTGAAAGTTGTGTGAAAGAGAGCGTGTGACAAAGTTGTGTGTGAAAGATGGTGTGTGACAAAGTGGTGTGCGAAAGATGCTGTGGCGAAAGATGGTGGGTGACAAAGTGAAGTGGTGTGTGAAAGATGGTGTGGTGAAAGATGGTTGGAGACAAAGTGCTGTGTGAAAGGTGCTGTGGCGAAAGATGGTGGGTGACAAAGTGAAGTGGTGTGTGAAAGATGGTGTGGTGAAAGATGGTTGGAGACAAAGTGCTGTGTGAAAGGTGGTGTGGTGAAAGATGGTGTGTGACAAAGTGGTGTGTGAAGGATGGTGTGGTGAAAGATGGTGTGTCAAAGATGGTGTGTGAGAGATGGCGTGTGAAGGATGGTGTGGTGAAAGAAAGTGTGTGACAAAGTGGTGTGAAAGATGGTGTGAAAGATGGTGTGTCAAAGATGGTGGGTGACAAAGTGCTGTGTGAAAGGTGGTGTGTGAAAGATGGTGTGTGACAAAGGTGGGCGTGAAAGATGGTATGTGAAAGGTGGTGTGTGAAAGATGGTGTGTGACAAAGATGGTGTGTGAAAGATAGTGTGTCAAAGATGGTGTGTGAAAGATGGTGTGTGACAAAGTGGTGTGTCAAAGATGGTGGGTGACAAAGTGGTGTGTGAAAGATGGTTTGTCAAAGATGGTGGGTGACAAAGTGGTGTGTGAAAGATGGTTCGTGAAAGGAGGTGGATGTCACCAAGCGCCACACCTGCCACGCAAAACGAAGGTAGATGTCTCCGAGTGCCACGCCTGCCACGCAAAGTGGAGGTCCATGGTCGCCAAGTGCCACGCCTGCCACGCAAAGTGACGGTCCATGTCGCCAAGGGCCACGCCTGCCACGCAAACAGCGGCGGCGTCTACGGCGTCAACTAGGAACCAAGCGCGCCACCAGAGCCAGCCCAGTGCCATAAGTGCCACGCCTGCCACGCAAAGTGGAGGTCCATGTCAACAAAGCGTCGCACCTGCCACGCAGAATGCACGCACGTCACCAAGTACCACGCTTGCCACGCAAACAGCGGCGGCGTCCACGGCGTCAACTGGGAACCAAGCGCGCCACCAGAGCCAGCCCAGTGCCATAAGTGCCACGCCTGCCATGCAGAATGCACGTACATGTCTCCAAGCGCCTCATCTGCCACGCAGAATGCACGTACATGTCTCCAAGTACCACGCCTGCCACGCAAACAGCGGCGGCGTCCACGGCGTCAACTGGGAACCAAGCGCGCCACCAGAGCCAGCCCAGTGCCATAAGTGCCACGCCTGCCACGCAGAATGCACGTAGAAGTTGTGTGTGGACAAGTTGTGGGAGGACAAGTTGTGTGTGTGAGCGATTTGGTGAGGACATGTTGTGTGTGAGCAAGTTGTGTGATGACAAGTTGTGTGTGGACAAGTTGTGTGTGGACAAGTTGTGTGAGGACAAGCTGTGTGTGTGCGATTTGGTGAAGACAAGTTGTGTGTGAGCAAGTTGTGTGAAGACAAGTTGTGTGTGAGCAAGTTGTGTGATGTGTGCGAGCGATTTGGTGAGGACAAGTGGTGTGTGTGTGTGAGCAAGTTGTGTGATGACAAGTTGTGTGTGAGCAAGTTGTGTGATGCCAAGTTGTGTGTGAGCGATTTGGTGAGGACAAGTGTGTGAGCAAGCTGTGTGATGACAAGTTGTGTGTGGACAAGTTGTGTGTGGACAAGTTGTGTGAGGACAAGTTGTGTGGGAGCGATTTGTTGAAGACAAGTTGTGTGTGGACAAGTTGTGTGGGAGCGATTTGGTGAGGGCAAGTTGTGTGTGAGCAAGTTGTGTGTGGACAAGTTGTGGGCGGGAGGGGCGGGAGGCAGAGGAGGAGGCGGCGGCGTGATACAGAACCAAAAACAAGAACCCCACACAAAGATGTGGGGAAAAAATGTTGAGCCAAATTTTGCCCAGGCAGCTACCCACCTGCCCGTCAAGGAATAAGGTCGATTTTTGCCAAAATAAGCCTTATTTTTGACAAAAATAAGCCTTATTTTTTGACGGGCAACGATGGCAACCAAAAACGCGCACGCTTGTCCTTTCAAGACAAACCGCACTAGTTTTTGGTTGCCATCGTTGCCCGTCAAAAAATAAGGCACATTTTTGTCAAAAATAAGGCTTATTTTGGCAAAAATCGACCTTATTCCTTGACGGGCAGGTGGGCAGCTGCCTGGGCAAAATTTGGCTCAACATTTTTTCCCCACATCTTTGTGTGGGGTTCTTGTTTTTGGTTCTGTATCCCGCCGCCGCCGCCGTTTTTGGTTGCCATCGTTGCCCGTCAAAAAATAGGGCTTATTTTTGTCAAAAATAAGGTTTATTTTGGCAAAAATCGACCTTATTTCTTGACGGGCAGGTGGGTAGCTGCCTGGGCAAAATTTGGCTCAACATTTTTTCCCCACACCTTTGTGTGGGGTTCTTGTTTTTGGCTCTGTATCCCGCCGCCGCCGTTTTTGGTTGCCACCGTTGCCCGTCAAGAAATAAGGTCGATTTTTGCCAAAATAAGCCTTATTTTTGACAAAAATAGGCCTTATTTTTTGACGGGCAACGATGGCAACCAAAAACTAGTGCGGTTTGTCTTGAAAGGACAATCGTGCGCGTTTTTGGTTGCCATCGTTGCCCGTCAAAAAATAAGGTCGATTTTTGTCAAAAATAAGGCTTATTTTGGCAAAAATCGACCTTATTTCTTGACGGGCAGGTGGGCAGCTGCCTGGGCAAAATTTGGCTCAACATTTTTTCCCCACATCTTTGTGTGGGGTTCTTGTTTTTGGTTCTGTATCCCGCCGCCGCCGTTTTTGGTTGCCATCGTTGCCCGTCAAGAAATAAGGTCGATTTTTGTGCAAAATAAGGCTTATTTTGGCAAAAATCGACCTTATTTCTTGACGGGCAGGTGGGCAGCTGCCTGGGCAAAATTTGGGTCAACATTTTTTCCCCACATCTTTGTGTGGGGTTCTTGTTTTTGGTTCTGTATCCCGCCGCCGCCGTTTTTGGTTGCCATCGTTGCCCGTCAAAAAATAAAGCTTATTTTTGTCAAATTTTTGACAAAAATAAGCCTTATTTGTCGACGGGCAACGATGGCAACCAAAAAACTAGTGCGGTTTGTCTTGAAAGGACAAGCGTGCGCGTTTTTGGTTGCCATCGTTGCCCGTCAAAAAATAGGGCTTATTTTTGTCAAAAATAAGGTTTATTTTGGCAAAAATCGACCTTATTTCTTGACGGGCAGGTGGGTAGCTGCCTGGGCAAAATTTGGCTCAACATTTTTTCCCCACACCTTTGTGTGGGGTTCTTGTTTTTGGTTCTGTATCCCGCCGCCGCCTCCTCCTCTGCCTCCCGCCCCTCCCGCCCACAACTTGTCCACACACAACTTGCTCACA